AAAAATCCCTTTACTTCCTTTTCCTACCTTTTTCATCGAGTATTTTGAATCTAATCCTCCAAATCTTGGTTACTCGTTTTTAGTGCCAGGACCATGTCAGGAATTCAAACTTCGCCAGCTTGATAGTGATTCGATAGTGATCCAGTGGCTGCCTCCAGCAATCGACGCAGGGATTATCACGTATAAGGTAAGGCTGAGGTACTAAGGGTGRGGTAACGCTGGTGCACTCGATTCTCACCTCTTGGGTCTCGGCCGGTTCAATTCACCTTTTGGGCGCTAGCCGTCACGGTCACCAAAAAGTTCGGACATTGTTCTCGAATTTCCGTACAAATGTACTGACTCTAAATGAAATATTTAATTGGTTAATGTTTAGTTAGTTCTCTAAATACAAGTAAATGATCATTTTTCTAGCTTGATTGAAGCTTTTCTTACTGCTGTTAAGATAGCTATCTAAAGAAATCTACCTAAATTTTCTCTTTAAAGTCAGTGAATTTGTATGGAAATCCTAGAACAATGTCCGAACTTTTTGGTGACCGTAACACAAACTATTTATAACCTGTGACAGCTAGCACCGAAAAGGTGAATTCCTGGACTCGGCATCACGTATGTGAACAGAGGTTGTTTGATCTCTCGTGAATCGAGATTTTTGCTTCCGCTACTCTGTTTTTCCTCCTTCTGCAAAATCCATATGAAAACGCCCGTTTATTGGATCTGTTAGGTAGCCGTGAGCTGACTTTGATCATCCCAGAGATCAAATAAAGCAAGGAGCTCGGCTTTTTTGTTTGTGACTGCATGTGATTTTATTTTTCTTCACTAACATCGTGTGATTTCTGTTTCAAAGATATCCTATTCTGGTTCCAAATTATACAAAGAGCGCGATTCCACCGTCCCCGTGACGGACGCAAAAGACCTCAGCATCCCTGCCGTCAGCAACAAGAAGCAGTCTTACAAGATAGAGAACCTCATTCCTCACATGGAATACAAGTTACGCATATCAGCTATCAATGCGATGGGTGAAGGTCGTAAAGTAGAGCTCGACTGCAAGACTAAGAGAGACAAACCATCGCGTTTAAAGGAGCCTGAAGTGATTGAGAATGAGGTCAATGAGGGTTACATCCCTGTGAGGCTGAGTAAAGCATCAGAAAGAAATGGTCCAATCAGGTACGATCACGTGATCTATTATTCACGTGATGCGAGATATAGGGCAAAATAGCGTGATCAGTCAAATTATGATCACGTGATTGGTTAGCTATTTGATATTGCATGATCACGTGATCAGCAAGGAATTTTATATTAGGGATATTGCATGATCATGTAATCAAAGACGTGTTTGATTTTGGTGTTATACCATAATTACGTGATCAGCCAGGTATTTTACATCAGGGATATTGCATGATCATGTGATCAGCAAGGTGTTTTATATTAGGGATATCGCGCAATTAACTAGTCCTACAACATCAAATAACTAAGGCCTAGGGCAAACGTCGAACTTCCCATCAAAGAATGCCGCCTCATTATCACCTGATATCCATTGTTTTCAATGAGTTCGGTGCATGGAAAGTTCGACGTTTGCYCTAGGCCTAAATATCATTCATCTTCCTCGAAATGTATAAAGATTTATTTATTTCTACTTTATATTTTCCCCCTCCTCAGTTATTACCTAATAGTAGTCGTACCCCTCGGAGAGGACACAATTCTCCCTAAAGACGACCCTGACAGTTACTTCAAGCGCGTCAAGAGAAGCAGAAGATCTGACAAACCAAAGCCCGCGCCGTACATTGCAGCCAAGTTCATGGCCAATCAGCTTCCAGATCGTTTTCACGTGGGAGAGGAGAGTAACAGTAACCAGTTTGGTTACATCAATAAACGTCTAACGAAGGGGATGTACTACACAATCTTTAGTCGTGCTTATGTTGAAAAGGAAAACAAGGTTAGTTCAACGACAACCCTACGGTATTTAAGGTCCATTATAACGTAGCTATATAACGTGCGCACTCATTAGTTGCTCAATGTGGGACATTATACAACCATAAATCGACGAATCGCACGCTAATTTGATCATGAAGCGCAAGGCTGCTTGGCCTCGTGGAAACAGTTGCGCTTTTTTGGCATTTAGTGTTTTTTTCTAACCAATTCAAACTYGTTACAGCTGTGCTCTGGGGTCATATAGCGGCTGCCAGAGGTGCCTTCACATGCTTCCAGTTCAACTTCGTTGAGCTGCGCCATTGCTGTACTTGCGGTGGTGATGAGCGATAAACAGATTTTTTCTTTCTTTCTCTAACATTCTTACTGCGGGTATAGATATTCTACGAGTTCGATAGTCACAAACTGTACGCTGAAATTTGTTCTTTCGCTGCCGTCAATCAAAAATAATCAGTTAGTACCATTTATGTATTTGACTGCCGGCAGTGTAAAACCAATTCGTAACAAGCCGTTGAAATGTCTGAGTTCGCAGAATTTCAAAAACCGCAGTAACGACCGCACGCTAACGTTGACTATATTTTGCCTGTTTTCCAGGAATTGGTTTACAAGTCCAGTCCTTTCACCAAACCCGTTTCCGCARGTAGGTAACAGTGACTCAAGTAAAAACCGGTTTTTGCTCGTAGAACATCAGTTTCTATACTTGTTTAAGCATATTTAAGMCCAAACAGGAGCGCAAACAACATACGCAGTCACCGAGCAGCTATAGAATTTTGTAGGGTAGCATATTCACGAGGGTGAAAGATGCTCCTTACCAACCTGAGGCGCTGTACCGTGCCGTTACCATAACAGTTCACTCCTCAAGACTTTTGACGAGCAGTATTCTTGCGCGCAGGGCAGATTTGTTTGTACCGTGACCGTGGCCGCAAATATTCTTCGTTTTCTGCGGTGATTTTCATCGAATATTTTCCATATTATTTTAGTGTCACCGTCCTTCCAAAGTCAAACAACAGCAAAGAAAGGAACGACCATCAGCCTGATAATCATCCTCGTCGTCGTGTTGGTCGTTATTATTGCAGCTGTTGCTCTGGTAGTAGCTTGTCTYGTTAAAAGGTAAGTTTCTTTGCATAGACTTTATTGTTATTACTAGGRGATATTTGTATTAATGGACGCAAGGGCGTGGCTTGCTATTTTTGACGGAGACGTGGTTTAGAATTTAAAGTTCATTGCAGAAATTTTTTGTTTCTGTTTTGCGCTTTTCTTGAAAAAAGAAAAGAACAAGAAGAAAGAAAGAAAGGAGTTATAGATGGATGAGATACGATAAGATCCTTTGTGTTTTATTCAGGCGTAGAAGACGTAAAGATAAGAAATRCAAAGATGAAGAGAAGTCAGAACCAAGTGACCCTGTTGAACTAAGAAGATTGAACTTTCAAACACCAGGTTGACATAAACAATCCTTATTGTTATTCAGCATACATCTTACCCTAAGAAATCTTTGTAGAATCCTGCACTAAACTTAAAATTTATTTACATCCTACAGCACCTCGGAATGCAGTTCAATAGACCTCATCGGCTCTGACGTAATGTTRTCCCATTTCAGACCACGTGTCATTCCCTTGAGTATCATTTCTTTGTTTAAGGTTTGCGCTCGGTTGCACATGARRAGACACATGAATATGGATACAGCTCAAACAAAGAATATTATTCTCAAGGGAATGACACGTGGTCTGAAATGGGACAATATTACGCTCGAGCCGAGGAGGTCTATTTGGGGGACGTAACAATAGGTTTCCAATTCTCAGGAGATTGAAATTCTTTTGTTTTGTCTTTCAAGTTCAGATCTTTTGACTTCACATGCAAGGGGCCAATTCTCTGTTTACTTTTAAATATTATTGACGCTCGGAATGCATCTCTCTTATTGCGCATGCTCGACGAAATATCTGGGCAGTTCTTGGAGCATGCGCACTAGAAATGACAGGGCACTGGGGTCGAGAGTGACAGCAACCAAAATGTCCCGCGCGAACAGAGTGCGCATTATTTTTAACTATGTTCCATTGTGATGTTTGTTTTAAACAGCCATGATAGACCATCCACCAATCCCAGTTGGTGAACTTGCTAGACATATTTCCTACTTGAAGGCAGAGAACAACAGCAAATTTTCGCACGAATATGAGGTAATGACGTCACTAGAAAACTATTTGAATGCTGCAAATGTTCTGTGAATTCTAACGCTGGTATGTGTTTTGTTGGTTTAGTCTATCGAACCTGGACAAACTTTTACATCAGAAGCATCGACAGCTGAGTTCAATAGAACTAAAAACCGCTACCCTAACATCTTGGCATGTAAGTCATTATATTAKATTTTCTAACCTTCTTCGTCTTTTCTTCCTTTCTCTCTTCCTTCCTTCTTCTTTTTTCCCTGTTGTCTTCAAACGTCCTTTTTTTTCCAAACGTCCTTTTTTCACGAGCACTTAATAGCCAGTGGCTAACAAACCCGTGGCCCTCATTCCGTGATTGAATTGGAATTTAGGAGTTGATTTTTGCGGAGGGAGGAAAACCGGAGAACCCGGAAAACCCTCGAAGCAYAGGAGAGAACCAACAAACAACTCTACTCATATACAACAAACTCGAACTCGGGTCGCATTGATGAGAGGCGAGCACTCACGCCGCTACGCCACCCGTGCTTCCCTTCCCTTTCTTCCTTCCATCCTCTCTCTTTCTTCTTATTTCATTCCATTCATGATCTATCGTTTCTATTTCAGATGAACATACGCGTGTTCATCTGTCGAGCCCTGACAGCTTTCAAGACTCGGATTACATCAATGCAAACTATTGTGACGTAAGTACACCAGCAAGTCTTTGCGACCCTATACAAAACCCTCTTAACTTTAAACCTGATTTTTATCTATTGGTTTCAAAGGGTTATCGCAAGGAAAATGCTTACATCGCTACACAAGGTAACGCAACACATTCATTTTACAGACTAATTCAGTTAACATTTTTTTAAATCAAAGAAAACGAGTGAGTAAACTAGTTATAGCTGCGTCAATGTATGGACAATAATTGATTAGCTGAAGTTTCAGGCGTTATTTTTTGCACGACCTTAACTTGCCTGATACATTAGTTTTTTTGTTTTTTTGTTGTTTTTTGTTTTTGTTTTGTTTTGTTTTGTTTTGTTTTTTTTTTTTTTTTTTTTTTTTTTTTTTTTTGTTGTTGTTTTTTTTGTTGTTGTTGTTGTTGCAATTTTCTAATAGATATTTTCTGCAAGGGATAGCTTTTAATATATATTGTATATAACTAATGGATATATTGGTTTTCTGTTGCAGGGCCCCTACCAAACACGGCCACGGACTTCTGGAGGATGATTTGGCAGCAGAGAACCTTCACCATAGTCATGTTAACACGAGAAGAGGAGAGAGGAAGGGTAAGTGGAATTTGCAAGTTAAAAGAGGTTTATATTTTTACCTCAAAATGTTGGCAGTCTGTACTGAATGTAATCGTAATAGATATAAGATAACACGTATTTATTTGTCCATGGTAGCTCCTTCAGTTACTGGATTTAACTGTTATCAATGGGAGCCCTTATACAAATATAATTTAAATGATACTAATATACAATACCAATACTAAAATTTTAAAATGAATCAAAATATTGTTTCAGGTCAAATGTGAGCAATATTGGCCGAATGAAGGCACAAGCACTTATGATGAAATTGAAGTATCCCTTGTAGACTGGGTTGAGCTGGCCAACTATACCATCACTACTTTACAGATATCCATGGTATGTCCTTATATAACAATAACATGCCTCCGTATGGGTGGGGCCTGTGTTTCACGTCCTACCAGGTCCGAATCGTAGTGGAATTCGTATAGGTTAAATTCATGAATCTTTCTCTCAATCCATTACAGGAAGGCGTGTCTCAACCTCGTGAAGTCAAACACTTCCAGTTTACCGGTTGGCCAGACCATGGTGTACCACCCCACCCTACACCTTTCCTGGCCTTCTTGCGAAGAGTGAAGTTTTATAATCCACCAGATGCTGGTCCAATCGTTGTTCACTGCAGGTACAGTATGTWTAGGAAATCGCACGATCTCCAGTACAATTCGGAATTTATAGGTACGAGGGATATTGTGAAAGTTTTTGGAGTTTGAGAAGTTTCAAAACATCACGAGTATCTATAAATTTCAAATTGTACGAGAAGACTGTGCAATGTTTTTGTTTATAACACGCGCAACAAAATTGAGCAACTTAATTGGGACTCTACAGAGTACAATTKGGGATTTAATTGTACTCCTCTTGTCCAATCAGAGTCGAGTAATTTTGTTGAGTGTATTATAAATATATATACAATATATTATGGATACGATGTATTTGGCAGGTTAGTCCAGGGAGGTCTACTCTTGGTAGAAGGACGAAGATTTATAACGCATCYACTAAATTCGCTAATTTCTTGTTGGACTTTGTAAGCTTGCTTGAACAGGCTTCAAAAAATCCCTGCGCTTGAGAWTGGAGCATTTCTTATCTTGTGTCTGTGTATCATCTATGTATTTCACGAGCGTGGTTTCAAACGCCTAAAATTCAAACGCTTGTTTAACGTATCCTCTTCCTAAGCCAGCACACTGACCAATCACTTCGCGCCTATATTTTTTTCTGATTTTATTTATGTGTGTGTTTGATTCTAGTGCTGGTGTTGGTCGCACCGCYATCTTCATCGTCATCGACTCCATGTTGGAAAGAATAAAACACGAAAACACCGTCGATATCTATGGTCACGTGACAGTACTGAGGACACAGCGTAACTACATGGTTCAAACCATGGTAAATACCACTCTTRATAAGCTCATTTGATCATGCGCGGCAARGTTGCAATGACGTCAGAGATGCTGTTGTCCCCAGATTTTTGCAATTATTTTTTTTACTTTCAAGAAATAGGCTGTCATAGCAACAGTGTGCGTGTAGCTGTAATAACCCTCTTCCTTACGTTCTCGCCCCAGTGTTACTCACGTATGTATYGTCTGTTGCCATAGGAACAATACGTGTTTATCCATGATGCATTGCTGGAGGCAGTGTCAGCTGGTAACACGGAAGTACATGCCAGGAATCTGTTACAACACATAAAAAAATTAACAGAGCTTGGTAAAGGAGAGGTGACTGGATTAGAGGAAGAATTCAAGGTATGGAGAAAGAAAAATAAGAATATTGATTTTGGATGGACTTCCTGCTTCCTGTGTTTGGTCTATGCCAAAGGAAGCCCAAGGAGCTACCTGCGGAGGGGTCTAATAAAATATAACGCTTCCGGCTTGTTCTTAGGAAAAAATGTCTTTATATCTTCTTCAAAGAAGTAACATTATTAGTTTAAGGATCATCCATATTTTTAAAAGTCGTATTTATGTGGATGTTTTATGTTACAGAAACTTATCGATCCGACTCAAGCTCGTCGGCACAAGCACGGAGCAGCCACCTTGGCCATAAACAGACCTAAAAACCGAATGGCAAACATTTTACCATGTACGTTGAATCCTCATTACTCCTCACCAAGTTATTCGTAGAAATCCAATGAAGCACTACACTGTAAAGGCGCTGAAATACGAGACACRAAAACGTCCAACTTGTCGCGCAACATTGTTGCGGTGCAAGTTCGAAAACAATGTTGCTCGTTTTACATTCTATCTATCTAATTTTTCACGCAAAAAAATCTAATGTTGCAAGTTGGGACTATCACGGTGATATTCTGCACGCTGATTGGCTACAAGCTACATAATTCAAGATGGCGGCCGCTTCTGCATATAAAATGTTGCGTGACAAGTTGGACGAGTGATGAAAAACGAGCAACAAATCGCAAATTTGTTGCAGAAAGTTGATCTACGCTCTACGTTTCGCAGCAAGTTTTCCCAAGATTTAGACCTCATTCATGGATGTTGCGACTGTTGCCTCGTTTGTAATATGCTTGGTTTTGAAATGATCATTGCACGGCGCCGTATTTGTGGTTAYGAGAATAAAAATCTTTGTTTAACCACGCATAACCTCATCCTGAAGCGCTTGAATGCGAAGCCACGAGGCTATTTTTCCGGTCAACATTGCTGTTGCATGAGAAAGATCCACAATATGATGTCATTGTCTGTTTTAGATGAATCTACTCGTGTACATATTTCACCAGTTCGGGGAGTGGAAGGTTCAGATTACATTAATGCAAGCTTTATAGACGTGAGTATTAAGACTCTTAATATTTTCTTATTTCTTATTTCACTGCTCTCTACAGGAGTATCGATTATAGAGACTAGCACCCATATGACTTTTCGAATGTGGATGCAAAACAATTTTTATAAAGGCCTTGTCGACACGTGTGCTGTGGGGTGGCGTGGTGTGGTGTGGTGTGGTGTAGCCTCGGTACAAACCATACAAGGCTTGTCCTTACCCTTTCCCTGTTAGTCGTCTTTGTCATATTCAGATTCTATTGGATGGTTGATTTTTACAGGGMTATCGTCAAAGAGGAGCCTTTATCGCTACACAAGGTCCCTTGAAGGACACCGTGGACGACTTCTGGCGCATGCTGATGGAACAGAATTCYAATATTGTGGTCATGATGACCAAACTACACGAGGGGGAATGGGTAAGACCCTTACTATGACTCCACAGACAGACAGACAGAGTGAAGGAAGGGAGGGAAGGAGGGAGGGAGGGAGAAAAGGAGGGAAGGAGGGAGAAAGGGAGGGAGGGAGGGATGAATGAATGAATGAGAGAGAAGGGCAAGTGTACAGACAGACAGACAATCGACTAGGGGGGCAATGTTTAATCAAATTTCAAGAATTGCTTTATAATTGTTGTATGATCGTCATGTCTGTCCATAGGACAAATGTTACAAATACTGGCCTACAGAGCGATCAGCAAGACACCAATACTACATCGTGGATCCTGTCAGTGAACAGGAGTTTGGGCAGTTTGTCATGAGAGACTTTAAGGTCAAAGATGCAAGAGTAAGTAACCCACCCCAACCCCCACCCCCACGGTATACCATCTTACTACCATCCATAAGTATTATTTGTCAATTTGATAAGTTCGATTCATAAAGCGCAGTTAATAAAACTTCGGCTCTGTGACATGACCGTATCGTGTCCAAGGATTGGTTGAGTGATCTTATTTTGTTCATCCCCTCGAGGGAAGTACCTTAACGTACTATATCGTTTAAGATTGGAGGAACTGATTTARATTCTTGCCGTGTGCGATTCCCAGTTATACATTATCAGCTCTAATTAATCATAGAATCTAATAACGATCTAGATTCACTTCCCCCTCCTCTTCCTTTCTTCCCCCCCCCCCCCCTCCTCTCTCTCTCCTCCTCTGCCTCCCGCCCTGATTAGAGTCTAGAGACAACTGCCGCTTTGGTAATAGGTTGAAAGAGGTCTTTGTTAACAGATGTTTTTYCCCCGACAGAATGACACCGTTCGCAACATCAAACAATTTCATTTCACTGGTTGGCCTGAGACGGGTGTACCCAAGTCAGGCGAAGGAATTATCGATCTGATTGGTCAAGTACAAAGAGTATATGAACAGCAAGAAGAAGATGGACCAGTTACTGTACATTGCAGGTACGTACTCGATGGAGGGGAGGGGAGGGGGGGTTGACCAGCAGACGAGAGAACAGGGTAGAGCAGGGCAGGGCAGGGCAGAGGAGAGCAGGCCAGGCCAGGGCAGGGCAGGGCAGGGCAGGGCAGGGCGAAACGAAACGACAGTAATCCATGGATTTGTAACCTTAACGTTAATTACTCATTTAAACCATTTTATTTTCATATAGTGATGGCGTCGGACGAACAGGAGTGTTCTGTTCATTATTYATCGTACTCGAACGAATGCGATCAGAAGGTGTGGTCGATCTATTCCAAACGGTCAAACTTCTCCGAACACAACGGCCTGCTATGGTCCAATCACAGGCAAGTGAATATAGTATTCCTTTTAATATAATTATCCCTAAATGTAATAAAAAATGACGCATCTGAATTTCAAGATCGTGCTCCTTCAACCGTTTTCATGAAGGAAAAAATCCTCTATTTTACTGTATTTCTTTAACGTGACTTACTTGCCTCGTTTTCGTGGTCCTGACCTCGTCTTCCACGAATATAAATAGTGTATATAATGTAACAATAGATCTTCTTTAACCATGAGTAATTTTTTATTTGTGTAAATATACCTTTTTTTCATACTCGGTCATCATTTCATCTCCTTGAATAACTTTTATAGACTTTCAATACCCGTAACTCGGATTTTATTGTTTTCGATTCGTGATCTGATTGGTTGACAAACTCGAGTGTTCACGTAGAACGACAGTAACATTTTCTTTTGCGACAATAATTTTCGTCAAATAATGGCAATACTTATTTTCAACAGGAGCAATATCTTTTCTGCTACAAGACGGCACTCGAATACCTTGGGTCGTTCGACCACTACGCGACGTGACGAGAAAGATAAGAAAGAAGGGAATGAATGGTATTGGAATGAMTACTGAGCTACACGTAGTGGAGACCTTAAATTCGACGTACATCAAGTCTAGAATAACCGTAGTGTCAACAAGAACGTAGAATATAGTGTTTATAAAGCAAGGAATTCCACTTAGAGAAAAGATAATCTTCAATGGACTTCAAAAATTGGACAATATTTTTATAGAGAATTAGATATCTATTTTGGATGTCTGTTTTTATTCATGGAAAGATATTATCAATGAATATCTTTGAATATTAATGAATTGATGYTGTTAATGATATTACTTGTCAATGAATGGATATCATTAATGAAATCATTTTTATTGATGGATAAATATTAATGGGTATCAATTATAGAAAGATAATAGTGAATATGAATATCATGATGGTATCGTTAAGAGGTAAAATGGATCATGGATATTCATTAATGATTATTTGTCTATAGATATCATTAATAATTTTGATATCATTTTATGATCCTTTTTATAATAGCTAGATGCTAGTAGTGGCTATATTTTTATGCTATTGTTTTTATTTATGACTGTATATCATTAATCCATATTAGTAATCATTAGATGATATCAGTTTCACTAATAGATAGGTGATAGGATATCATTTCTGATAAATAAATGGATCAAGTGCAGTAAGATGATGCTAAGATACTCTTCAGTGACAAAGGTTTCCGAGTCGTGGAAGAACGCACTTTTCCTTACGTCACGCACTCATGCAATGACGTCATAGATCTCATTGCGTCATATCTGATGATACCATTGGTTAAAGGAAATTTTACATTTTATTGCATATTTTTAATGGATTTTTATTAATGCTTATTAATCTTCTGACTAATATCATTATCCAGATGTTAATTCATTAATGTAAAGATAAAGATGAMGAGGTTTGTAAACAAGAATTTTTACTGTAAAGTAATGAAACGCCGGATGTAACTGCGGCGTCTAAGGAGTTTTCTACATAAATATTTTTTACATCAAAATAAATCGTTAAATTGTTAAAAACGTCTTTGAGTTTTCTGTTAAATTCCTTCCTCCTTCCTTCACTCCTTCCCTCCTTTCTTTCTTTCTTTCTTCTTTCCTTCCTTCCTTCCTTACTTCCTTCCTTTCTTTTTAAGTTTATATTTTCTTCTCCCTTTTTTCTGTTTTTCTTCTTGTTTTTCTTTCTTTCATTCACATCCTTTTCGTACGCGTTGACTTGAACCAAGAACCCATGACAACGCATGCGCCATTATTGATTTACATACTACTTCAACTGCTTGATGTGAAGTTAGCTGGCGAGAGCGAAAGATAAAACTACATTCTAACCGAATTAACCCGCATCTGGCTGGAAAACAAGATTAAAGACAAGAARGTAGAAGAATTCAGGACTCCTTTGATGCAGCTTTAAAAAGGTAAGAAGGTTTTAGTGAATAGATACAAGAGATTTTTGTATCAGTATTCGACACTAAACTCGAAGTATCTGCAAGATAGAGTGGTTTTTATACACTTAAACTTGTTTAGTACTGARTTCTTTTGTTTTCTATTGYGTTTATCTGATTATGACAAACTAATTATTACACTTTGCTCCACGGGTTAATGAAAACCACTCTAGCCCAGCAGGGGTTTGAATAAGACGAATAAGAATGAAGTGAAAACATCCTTATAAATCAAGCAAACGCAAGCACTTTAAATATTCCAAATGCTTTAATCATCTTGGAAACTTTGCTCCAGATTTATGGTTCAAAATTAGATTCCAGAGGTTGCTTTATCTGATACAATCCACACAGACAAGGTTGTCATCTACTCTTTTAGCGGTCGCAGAGGCTCCTGTCGAATAAAAAGGCAATCAGTCGCGCATAAGAAATAAAGCTGCTAAATATCGTTMTAGACCTGTTTACAATGGCCTGTCGTAATGCTACAATTCCGGACCACGTGTCACAGTGCTTTTGAGTATTATTTACTTGTTTAGCGATAATGCTTATCGAAAATTTACATATTAATAGGAGAAACACGTGATGGAGGTGATGATGGTGATGGTAATGATAGCGATGATGATGGTGGTGATGATGGTGGTGATGATGGTGGTGATGGTGATGGTGATGGTGATGGTAATGATAGCGATGATGATGGTGGTGATGATGGTGGTGATGATGGTGGTGATGGTGATGGTGATGGTGGTGGTGAAGGTGTTTAGTATGGACGACGACGATAAAAACAAAAAGAACATGAGGATGATCGAACGGTTATCGAATGAGTGGGAAACAAAAAGGCCGTACTCTAACCCTCAAAGACAATGTAGTGCGATTTCAATATTACARCATGTCGTACCGTGTACGTRCTGTAGGTCAATACGTATATTCCCACTCATACGAAACTCTTTGATTATACGGAACAGTAAACTCACTAAATCTAGTTCACACTTACCACACGAACGCTACCAATTCTAGGCCGCAGAGTTTTACGCCCATTCATTCCTCTTCTATGAAGTGAATTAGATTCTCTTTCGAACTTATCCTCCCAGTGTCCATCAGAAACGCCTCCCTCTTCGCTCTGGGGATTCACAGCGAATACTTCAAACTCGTGCGCTCGTGAGCTCTGTCGTCGTTTGCCAGGAATAAGCGCGTCTTCTATAACTACTTCTTGTTTGGTGGCTTGAAAGAAAGCAGGAACGCTCCCGCCCCATTTGTCATTTGGTTTGTAAGACAGCTCGGGCATCGTCGCTCGCTTTCCACCGGAATGCATTACTTTGATCTCTTTGATTTGTGCTGCGGTTTGTAGAGACAAGTGTCTTGTTTCTTGTTTGGGAGRCGAAGGATCGTTGTCTGATTGGATAAGAAAAGAAATAGACCTTATTCGTGGTGTGACAATGTTTTCCCAATTCAGCGTGACAAACCTCCAGAGGATTCATTTTCTTTTGTT